GACTTGATGCTGGACCAGCCTTACTTTCCCCTCCACTTAGCGTATGTCCTCTGGTAACTCTACCACGTGTCTTTTCCAATTCTCCTTCAAGCGTCTCTTCTTTTCAATCACAAGTGGCTTGATTGTAACGAATGCTCGAGGACAGGCACTATTTGACTTAGGACAACGGAATCTACAGATTACTTTCCGGTCGATCGGTTATAATGTCTGTTCTATTTCAGTATGTTGTTCTCTTTTTAGAAAACTGACGCTTCCTACTTGGAAAGGCACTTCAGTTCTCTTAGTCGAACAACTCCTGCATGCCGCCCAGACTTCCCTGGTATTGAACCATCCTAGGGCAGCGGTCACTCATGATCGAAACGAGCCACAGGCCATGCCACACAATCAAACGCGACGAAACTGCTCAGTTTTCTGATGGAGTTTCGGCCGCCAGTGTTCCAGCACCTCGTCCAAGGTTTACAAGGGTGCAGGTCCATCAGCAGTGGCCTGCGAACCTGCACTGCTTGGACCTGGCACTGCGCTTGCTACGCTGCCCGAAGATCCCGGTACATTTCTTCTCAAAGTCGAAGGACCAGGCAGTAACGCGGTCCCGCCGCCAGCTCCTGATGGACCCGCAGCAGGACCTGCGGCAAGACCAGGCAGTAACGCGGTCCCGTCGATAACTCCTGATGGACCGACACCGGGACCTGCGGCAGGACCGGGCGCAAGCTCTGGCGCTGCTGCTTGTGGTGGAGGGGTTGCCGACATGATCGTTGCAAAGGACTCCACAATGATGGCCAAATTTGGATCTTGCCCATTTGCAAAATGGGTCACTTGAACATGGCTGAGGCCCGTCAGGTCGCGAGTTAGCGTGGTTGTCAATCGTTTCGTCGAGGCTTCGACGTCGGCCGACGTGGGAGTCACAACCTATTGCCTCTGTCAGTCTTGTACCGAGCTCCTGAGTACCAACCTACCAGCACGCCTGGGAGTATCCTTGGTGCGATGGGTGCCGTCTCTCGCAGCGCATGCACGATCAAGTGTCTGCCGTTCACTTGCGCATACCACGAGCAGAACTTATTGAAACCCGCCGTGATCTGTTGCTGCTCCGGGGAATTCTGCATCAGGGCGAGCACATGAGCCGCATTTATCTGCGTGGTCAGCCCACCAGTTGCTGTCGAGACAGCTTGAGCCAGAGGCCCAATTTGCGCCAAAGCAGAGCCTTGGGATGGAGATGCCAGCAGAATGACACCAGCGACCTGCCGAAGGAATGGCACAACTAAGAAAGACGCAAAGTCAGTTGACGCTCCCAATACGTTCGGAATTATTTTGAATGTCGCGGTCACATGTGATTGACGCCGACTCCAGGGGGAGATGCTCACACATAGTACTGTTGTTGTCAACGCCGCTTGGTGGTAAATTTGGATTTACCGGGGCGACAGCACCTTGGCCTTCTGAGAGCATGAATGACAGCAGCTATCTCTTGTCAGTTCAATCTCCCCCATAGCGTCTCGACTTACGGCTCGCGACAAGATACCGCCCATGCTGTGACCTATGAATATTGATGGCAAGAATGGAGGGTTGCCATTCTTCTTCGCCAAAAACTAACAACGTTGTTATGACCTCTTCGATCGATACAATGAACCGATAAGCCTACCGGAGTCATCCCAATCGCCCCTAATAGGCTGTCTGTAAGTGGTCTGCATGTGTCTTGGACTGAGGTGCTCATATTCGCCGGGTCAAGAGCGTTGGTGTTCCATCCCACAAGGTATACTTGCGCCGGTACTCCGCGAAGTTGTGCAGGCAACAATTGAGGGAGGTTTTGTAACCAGACGAACGCTGGAGGCCCCTTGAAGGTCCAGGTAACGGTACTGCTCATAAGCCCATGGATGGCGAAAATGCTTTTCCGTTGTCAGTCATGTCAACGCCAGAACCATGTCCAGCCATAGCAACAAGGTCATGGGGCGAGACTTTCTGGTTCGGCATTGATGAGGAGACTTCCACTTACTTGAACCGAGGGTTCTGGACGTTCGTGAGCTTGGTGACCGTTGGATTCACCTGAGCCGATGGTCCCCGTTGCGTTGCTGGGTTAGCTTGGACAAGTCCCCCGACTGCTCCTTGTAAATTGCTCATTTTGGACAATTATCGGGTCGTGGGAAGTGGTAGTCGACACAAAGCGTCAATCTGGTGTTCCTGCACACAGAGAAGGCGACCTTTTGCTTGATATATGGTCCCGGTTGCAGTACGTCACGGAGTACATCAATCATGAAGAGTCAAATATCACTATCTGGACTCAGCAACTTTCTATGGCAAGGTCACCCTAGTATAAAGCAGGCATCTCATAGTCGCCGGGCCGCACCACGGCGATCGTGACCTTTCTCGCCTGGTACCGGTGTACGAACAAATGCTGCTGACCTTGCTAACAATAGGATTTGGCGCCGGGAAAAATCCGCCAGAATGACGACCGCGATTGCCGTTCACCGTCGACAGGACTTAAGCCGTGATATCAGCACACGTGAATTACCATAGTACCGCACACCTGCTTGAGAGGTTGGCTTGTGCTGAAGCAGAAAAGGTAACGAAGCTGAAGTATAGTGCTTATTGATATGACTGGATATGGTAAGGTATCCCACCCCTGTCCATGCGGTGATTGGACAGCTTGTACCATCAGAATCCACACCAGGTATCAGTCAGTAATATCTACTGTAGTATTAAGCTACTAAATGCTGACGATATATAGCTTTACCATGTCATGATATTCCCAAGATCGTGCAAGCCGCCCTCACATGCGCGCAATGCTGCTACTGAATGGTTAGCAATGTCGAGATAGAGTCGGGCAACCATGCAACGGCAGGCATTTTACTGATTACCATGTCATCTGGATTCACTGGGACGTACCAACACGTGCTTGTCACCAGTGGTCGTCTTTCGACTTATGCTCAGATGAGTTGATACTGCACAACTCAGGGTAGCAAGCTTACTACGGTCTATCCTATCTCAGTAGGTGAGACCAAGGGCTCAAAATTAGACGTCTTATGCTTGGATACTCTGGGCGGCAGCGACCGCCTGGGACCCTTGTTCAGTCGTACAGTCAGACCTTATTCTGGGTTCTCAACAAGTATTTTTGGGGTCGGATTGGGTTCCAAATTTATGTCCCTGCTTGCTCATCGCCGCGCCGAGACTACAGAATGTGAGTAAGATGCGCGGGCAACCTCTTAGCGACGCGCTGGAAGGAGCTGATGGCGCCGGTAAGATAGCCCACAGATACGATCATGGCATTACCAAGATCTTGGCGATTTGCTCGCATCATTTTACTCTTGAAGATGAACGGAAGTCGAGGACACTGTGGGCTGACAGGCTAGACATACATTTATAACGTTTGTCTCACTCTTCTTCCTCGAACTCACGAACGGGACGCATCCAACACAACCGCTTAGGCAGGCAGACATGGGCGATCATTACGACGACGGCTCAGGACAATACGACCAGGACGGTCAGGGTCAGTATGGCTATGACAATGGGCAGTACGGGGACGATCAGGGTGGTTACGGAGGCGACCCCGAACAGATCAAGAGCCAAATCGAGCAACATATCCAGCATTACGAACAAATGCATAATGACACCTCCGGTGAGTGTGCTCCTAGCCATACTGGCACAGCGACATGGGTACCATGATGCCTGACTAACGATCGTTCGGCTCTCTAGGTGCCGAGGAAGATCAACAGAACAACCTCCGCCGCATTCTGCGAGACTTGAAGCGCCTCGCCAACCAGCTTAGACAGATCAATCCGGAAGACCCCGAGGTGCAGAACTGCTACAAAATGTTCAAGCACGCGCAGAAGGGCAAGTGGGCACCCGATGACAACGACACGCAGGACGACTCACACATGGAGTATAAGCACCATTTGATGGGCGAGGAGTCGGAGCCGGATGATGATTCGGACTCTGACGCCGATCCGGGTGATGGCGGATATGGAGGCGGCGGGGACGATGATGGTCAAGGATATGGGGGAGATGGTGATGACGGACAAGGAGGGTACGTTCACGGCGATGGAGGTGGAGGAGACGATGGACAAGGGTACGGTGACGATGGCAATGGTGGGTATGGAGATGATCAGGGTGATGGCCAGGGTCATGACCATCATCACGGTCACGGCGGTGAAGGTGACGATCCTCAGTATGAGCAGTATGGCGATCCCTACGACCAGGGCCATGATCACGGACATGGACATGGACAGGGAGGGGATGATGGAGGGTATGGTGGCGATGATGGCGGATATGGCCATGGAGGTCACGATGGAGGTGACGGAGGTGACGGCGGCTGGGGTCAGGGCCAAGATCAAGGTCACGATGGAAGCCATGACCCCCACGACCATGATCAAGGACAGGGTCATGATGGTGGCGATGGAGGCTGGGGTCAGGATCACGATCCGAGCCATAACGGTAACTTCGATCAAGGAGGCCACGATCCGTCGCAAGGTCACGATGGCAGCCATGACCCCCAAGCCGATGATGGAAGCTGGGGTCAAGGAGACCACGACCCCAGTCAAGGAGGCCATGTTGCAGGACAAGATCACGTCCAAGGCCACGATGGAAGTCATGACCCAAGTCAAGGCCATGACCAGGGATCCCACGACCCGAGTCAGGCTGGGGGACAAGATCCCACATCTGAACACATCAATATCACCATCAGTATGTAGACGTGGGGATGTAGTCTAGCTATGCAAGGTACATGGCGAAAGAAGAATGATGGTATCTCCTTTCGTGTTGACAAGCCCTAAAGACTACCTGTCACGCCCAATATTTGAGTGTTTGGTATATCAAAAGTTGATGAAAGGCGTCTAAGGTAATAGTCGAGAAGAAAGCCCACTAGTCTAGATCCTTACGGAGCCTTCACGTGGACGTAAGGACGCCCACAACGCACGTCATAAGCAGAGCAATTTGTTGTGGAACATGAGATTAAACCCCCAAAATTTGGCTTAAAATTGCTCACGAGATTTTCGAGTTCAATTCGCCAGTAGGGGGCTCCGCTGGCGCAATGGTAGCGCGCCAGACTTCTAATCTGGAGGGTAAGCAACTCTCTTGCAACGCCTACCTTACATCCATCTAACAACTTCAATAGTTGTGGGTTCGAGTCCCACGCGGAGTGGCTTTGAGCAATTTGACCTTCTTTTTGCCATCGTCCGTGGTGTTTGAAGTAGAAGAATGCAATAGTTGTGGTTTCGCATCCCACGCAAGTGGTTTTGGGCAATTTGACCTTCTTTTTGCCATCGTCCGTGGTGTTTGATGTGTGGAGTATCTTTGGAAAGCCATCGTGCTAGATGCCGACCAAGAAAGGGATTAATAGCGACCTCGGGGTGGCATCGTTTGCCGACGAGGATCTTGACATTGTTACGACGCATGCCACCAATACCATGCCAGTGTGTTGCGCCGACAACAAGTCCACCAGGTATAGCGATAGACCTACGATCTTCGATGTATCATGGGTTGGAGATATGACCTTGAATACGAAGAAGCCAGATAAGTATTAAGCCTACAACTCAACCGAACCTGACGACCCCGGAGAGTTAGACAGTGCTTTTTTGCTAGACGGCTTGACGGGTAGAAGTCCGCGCTCATGTATCAGCCTCGTCGGGGAAAACAGGACCACAGGTTTGAAAGCAGACAAGATCCTTATATCTTTTGATATACTTCGTAATCCCAGTGGTTCTACCACATTACCTTACGTCACCTTTTTCTAAGACAAAATTAGGATCACGCTCACTGCAGAGAAGTGCAAGTAGCTTCTCAAGCAAGTTGCTCTTTTAAGACCGAATCATTAGGTCTCGGGGACAACATTTACGAGAACAGTCTCCCGTTAGTTTCGTTTATTCCTAGGCATGAGGGTGCAGGACCAGGTAGTTCTCGTCACAGGTAAAAATATCTCTAGACACTTTCAACCGTCACTTCCATTATCTGTTGCGGCGGAAAAGACCTATATTGAAGTCCATACTCATACGACCCGTCAGGTTCTTCTCGGGGTGTCGGCCTGGCAATAGCCAAAGCATTTCGCGCAGTGGGCGCCAGCATCGTATTAAACTACCACAAGACGGACCCCAGCATTGTCGCCAGCATAGCAAAAGAGCTAAATGCATTTACATTCGCCGCCGACATCACGGACCCGGAAGCCGTGAAAGCACTCTTCGCCAATGCTGAGAACCACTTTGGGAAGCCCATCACGACGGTAGTAAACAATGCTATCGTGGGAGGCTTTGTGTTCAACGGCGACGCCAGACCCAAAGTCCCTGAGCTATCCTGGTCCAACTTCGATTCTCAGTTGCAAGGATTCCTTCGAGGTACTCTGAACACCACCCAGGCAGCACTCCCGGGATTTGAAAAGCTCGGCTATGGCCGGGTCATCAATATCGGCTCAAACTTATTCCAGAACCCGGTGGTACCGTATCATGACTATACCGCGGCCAAGGGGGCATTGCTGGCATTCACCAGAACATGTGCGGCCGATCTCGGTCCCAAGGGGATTACCGTGAACATGGTGTCCGGGGGCCTACTGGATGTGACGGATGCCAGTGCAAGTACACCGAAGGAGGTCTTTGATCACATCCGAGCCGTCACACCATTGAGGAAGGTCACCACGCCAGAAGACCTAGCAGGGGCCGTGTTGTTCTTTGCGAGCCCTTGGGCGGATGGCGTGACTGGGCAGCAGCTCGTTGTCGATGGAGGCCTCGTGATGAACTGATCAGTGCATCTTTCATAATCATAACTTCGCGCTCATAGCTGCTGGGTGCTGAATTTCAACCACGGCCTTGCCCCATATCTTTCTTGCGGCGAGATCATCCATGGCCTGTGGAACGCTTTGCAAGGCACGATACGTCCCATAAATGACTGGCTTGATCTTGCCGCTCTCAAGCATTGCGGTCAAACCCTTCCATACCTCCTCGTTCTCCTGCGGATTTCGTCGCCCAGTCTCGCCAAACCTGTATCCAAGCAGCTTTGCGCCCTTGAGCAAGACACGATTCATCGCCAGGGTCTCCATTTTACCGCCTAACCCTGCAAATCCTGCAATCACAACATTCCCACCGAACTTGAGGCACTTGATGCTCTTCTCTACCAACCCGACCGTATCATAGACCGAATCAACGCCAACACCGTCCGTGAGTTTTAGGACTTCCTTCTCCCATCCATCTTTATCGTAGCGCACCACTCCCAGAACACCCAGACCTCTGACTACCTCAGCCTTGGCCTCGCTGCCCACAGTCCCAATCACTTTAGCACCAAGCGCATGAGCAATCTGTACAGCAACGACACCTAATCCGCCAGCAGCGGCATGAACTAACACAATCTGCCCGGCCTTGACCTGGGCAACTCTTACGAGTGCACCGTAGCTCACTGGTGCAGTCGCACCACCAAGACCAGCCACATCGTGTAACGTCCAGCCAGTAGGTAGCCTTTGCAAAACCGATGGTGGAACGACGATCTGTTCGGCGAATCCGCCAACACTGGCACCCCAGACCTTGTCGCCAGGTTCGAAGCCTGAGTCCGGTGGCGCGGAAGCGACTACTCCAGCGAACTCGAGGCCAAGCACGAAAGGCGGCTTGACTAATCCGCTATGATTGTTCTGGTGTTTGCCGCGGGAATAGAGCAGATCGACATGATTGAGGGCGCTATGTGTAATATGCACAAGGACTTCATTGGACTTCGGTACAGGTGAAGGGATGTCTGTTACTGCGAGTTCGGAAAACGAGTCCACGAACTTTCTAATCTGTACAGCTTTCATCTTGATTTGACGGTACGTTTAGCTGAATTGTCGATGAATGTGCCGCGGATGTCGTGGTCTCCGAGCGACGGCAAACAGTCAACTGCCGGTTTCTTTGCTTATACTACAGCGCCGTCCACATATTGCAAAGCTGTAGTGCCTGGGTTTAGTCACAAGGCTGGAAGACACGTCTGTGTTCAGTGATATCAAGTAGATTGAAGGAAGAGGTGTTGAGGTATTCGACTTCCGGGCCAGGCTTTACCGAGGTCCAAGCGTATTGGCTTTTGTTATACAAATGTAGTTGGTTCCGCCGCAAACATCTACACAACGCTTCCGAAGCGTGAGCCGAGCACAATAATAGTGAGATACTGTAGTCTCGACGTGCTCTTGGAATGCGCCTACCTATGTCTGAGTTGGAGTTGTCCAGGACAATAACTAAAGATCCTCCAACGAAGGAATGGGCAGACTTCTAGCACTCAGCACTGCTTAAGAACAGGGTTGACTGCCCATTTTGTCGCTCCACTAAGAAGAACTTGCGCATCGATGAAGGCCTTCCATTCCAGTGATGGCGAAGCTGTTGCTTCCGGGGAGGTATACCATCTCCAAAATGGGTGGTAGCTGCTGGAGTGCGATGCATGTCAATCTGCACACCGAAGTCACGCTCAGAGTCGGCCCTGAATGTCAGTACGCGGTAGCACGGGACACGTAAAAGTGCAATTGGAACCAAGCGGTTCAGTCTTCGAGCACTTGCAAATCGTGTAGAAGTGGGACATGGCTTGCGCCGAGTCGTCTCGTAATTGAGTATAGAGCCCTCGAGGAATCGCACGCGGATAGCACAGGGTTCTCGCATGCGAGACTGGCTCGATTCGGTTTTGAACAAGGAAGCACGCGGCCATTAGGCGTCACAAGTAAACCGTTCATTTTCTCATTTCATCCCATTTTCGCTCTGAATGTCTATGCTTGCGATATGTACAATGGACTTGATGCGAGCCCGATGTGCTCCAACAAGCCCACTTTTTGACCCCGTTTCACATTGCTGGCTGCTCGATTGGATTTTATGCTGACTTCGCTTCATGGTTTACGTTGGGGTTTCGGGGATCGTTCTTGAACTCGTCCGCTGTAATTGCCAATGTCAGACTTTGCGCTGGTAGTAGGCCATCCGTGACCATTTGTAGATAGCGACACCAGTATCGCTCATTTTCACTTACAAGCCATCATAGCGTTGGCGCCAGCATTGATCGCGTACAGGACAATGACACCTGCAGCGTAGAAAGGGATCATGGGTTCGGCTGCGCTGTAGTCAGTTTTGCGCCTCTCCGCTTTTCGTGATCATTCGACTAACCAATCTTGCCGGGGAACTTTTTTGGGATCCAGCCAGGCATGTTGACGGTGTTCTGGTAGAGGTATTGTTTTGCGTGGTGAAGTTGTCGTCAATGAGCTCCGGCTTCGTTGATCTTGAAGCTTGAAAGAGCTAAACCCGATTGGTTTAGGCTTGGCGGATTTTACGTGTTTGCATGGGTTGATCGCGTCGAGATGAGTGTGTTTACGCTTGCGATACAGTGCAAGAATCCGTTGAGCAGAGAAAGCACAGTTGTCTGAGAAGTTGAGAGTGTGCCGCACAAGTATGGCGTCGCTGGGTCCCGCAGTGTCATCTCTGCGCTCCTCACTGTCCCTGCTTGAGTCCAGTATCTCCATTCTTGACGAGGGTGTATCCGACTTCCCTCGTCTGTGCAAGGTATTGCAGACGCAGCAGCACTTCGAATTACTTCCAGAACCTACACTACGAGAAGCACAGCAATCTCTGGTCGATGAGATCGTCCCAGCCATCAATCAGCTGATCTCAACGGCAGAGAACTACATTAATCAACTTGGGCGGAAAGAGGAGAGTCTAAAGGCAAGATCGGAGTTGTTGGAAGGTCGATTGAACAACAATCGAAGCAGCTCAGGCTTCGGAGGTAGCCAGCCTGTGCGCAGTACAAAGCCACCGCAGCCGGTCGGTCTAAGCGACACCAAGATGCTGGAGATGAAACGCATGCAGCAAAAGAAGGAAAGACTTCAGTATGCGATTGAAAGATTGGAATTGCAGAGTAAACAACGCGAGCGAGAATTGAGGAAAAGCATGGCCATCGTCAGAGACTGAGATCGCAGACGAGCTCTTTCCATCATCAATAACGAACTCCCACCACGTTATGCGACAGTCCCTGTCTACCAAGAGGGTCGAAGAGAACAGCACCAATACAGACTACATTGGAAAGACACTGAAAGCGGAGAACATGTTATAAAAACAGCTTTTATTTGCTACACCAGGCGGATCATGCTTGACGCTGAGCTTTGAAAGCACGTTTGGCTTGCCAGATCGCACCAGGCCATGGTTCGAACGTTTACGAGCTGGTGGG